AAGGTAACGTCGGTAATGAAGAAGGCAGTACCAATAGAATACAATGGAAAGATACTTACGATCTCCCATGGATTTCTAGCGGCAGAGAGAAAAAATTCTTGACAGGGCTGTTAGGCGGCGGCGGATCGGGTATTAAGACAAAAGGCGATACTCTCTTGTTTCCAGTGGAAGGCACAAAAGAGGATGGGAAAGCCGTTTCGCTGATTATGTACTCCTCGGACACTGCGGGTTGGGTTGTATCGAGGGAGATGTCTGACGATGGCTGCAGTGATCCCTCCGTCGTGGAGTGGAAGGGAAAACTCATGATGATGACTGCATGTGATGATGGCCGCCGCAGGGTATATGAGTTTACTCTAACGGAGTCGTGGACGGAGGCACTCGGGACCCTCTCGCGCGTGTGGGGCAGCGAACACACGGGACATGCGAAGGGCGTTCGAAGCGGGTTCACCACAGCGAGGATTGAGGAAAAGGACGTGATGCTCGTTACTCTGCCGGTGTATCCTGAGAATGAAGGAAAAGGCAATGAAAAAGTTGAGCTCCATCTTTGGCTAACGGACAATACGCACATTGCTGACATTGGCCCGGTATCCGGGAACGATAACGACGTTGCCGCCAGCTCCCTGTTGTACAAAAGTGGTGGAAATAATAATAATGAGAAGTTGATTGCACTGTACGAGAAGAAGGGCGGTGGGGAATCATCACTCGGTATGGTCTCTGTGCTTCTGACTGCGCAGCTGGAGCGGGTGAAGGAGGTGCTGACGACCTGGAAGAAGGTGGACGAACGTGTCTCTCAGCTGTGCACCTCTTTAATTGCTCAGGAGGATCGCTCAACTGGCAATGCCTGCACTACTGATAAGATCACGGCTGGGCTGGTTGGCTTTTTGTCCGGCAACTTCTCTGGGAGCACGTGGAGGGACGAGTACCTCGGGGTGAACGCCACAGTAACGAGCGGTGTTGGGACGGGAAATGGCGTGACGTTTACAGGGCGTGGCGCAGGGGCTGAGTGGCCCGTTGGCAAGCAAGGGGAGAATCAGCTGTACCACTTTGCGAATTACAACTTCACTCTTGTGGCGACGGTGTCCATCCACAAGGCGCCGGAGGGAGTTACCCCTATTCCTTTGATGGGTGTGAAGAAGATGAATGGTGGTAAGAGTACTGTATTCCTGGGACTTTCGTACAACAAAGAAAGGAAGTGGGAATTGCTGCAGAGTGGCGGAACGCGCAATGCTCTCAGCGGCACGTGGGGGACAGATGCAACGCACCAGGTTGCCATTGTGCTACAGAACGGGAAACAGGGCTCCGCGTACGTTGATGGTCAGCGTGTGGGGAATGTGCAATGTGAATTGGAAAATGCTGATCCCAAAGGGATATCACACTTCTACATTGGAGGCGATGGAGGCAGCACAGGCAACACAGAAAGCCGAGAAGTCGTGTCTGTGACTGTGACGAACGTTCTGTTGTACAACCGCCCGTTGGATGACACTGAAATTAATGCGCTTAATGCAAATAAAGTTCTTATTTCAAAGCTGGAAGAGCGAAGCACGGCGGCGGAGGAAACTCTTTCAAAAGCGGTAAGTGGACCACTTGCGCAGGGAGCCGTCTCCCAGTCTTCTCCTGGCGAACCACAGCAGACGAGAAAGGAATCGTTGATGGGGAGCAGTGGTGAGAATGGGGAGACGGCGGGAGGAACATATGGGCAGGAAGAATTCCAGCCACGGGTCAGGGAACTAAATGCTACGGCACCCAGCAGCAAACTTGGAAATTTGCCGCAGGAAAATAATAGTGATGCCGGCACCATGCGTGAGATCAGGATGCTGCTGCTGCTTCTTGTGTTGGGATTGTGGGGGTTTGCCGCTCTGTGAGGAGTTTGTCGCTTCAGTGTGGAACCCTTCAGTCCTTCCCCACCACCGGCGCACAAACTCTTGGTAATGAATTATTCTCCGTAAAAGACAAATTTTTTGCTTTTTTTCTGTGTGTGATTTTTCCTTTTTTCCCTTTTTTTTTTTTTTTTTTTTTTTTTGTGTGTGTGTGCGAGTGTGCGTTTTTTTTATTGCTTTTCTTTTTTAAACTTCCTCGTCCCCCATCCCTTTTTTTTTGCTTTTGGGGGCAATCAATATGGACGTCTTTTCTTTTCTACTCTTCCCTCTTTTAATTGTTTCTTCTGCACTCTTCCTGTGAGGGGTGCCGTGTGTTTCCCGCCCAACTGCTCCACCCGCACACCTACCGACACGCTCATGACGACGGCCCTGTGCGCCTCGCCTGCTGCACGCATGAGGAGGGGCCGCGACGAACGGCGCGCTGAGGGAGCCGTGACGTGTGGGCGTGCGACGAGGGCCTGTGGGCGGAGCACACATTTCTTTTCCTCTTGTTTTGTTTCTTTGCGGCCAGGGCGGGCAGACACCCGCAGCGTCACACACAGCCAAACCCTGCCACCGTGTTTTTAAGATTTTTTTTTGCTTTGCTTGTGCATTTCACGCGCTGGCAGTCCCGTCAGCATTTCTTTTCCCCTCCTGATGTTTTTTTTTTTTGCTGCGCTCACTCTCCCGATGGAGTGACGCGACTCCCGTCATGTCTGCGTGCTTCTCTCAGTCCCCACACACACACGAGTGACTGAGCTCTGCGGGCCGCACTCACGCGCCGATGAGAGGGCTGAGGGGAGCAGCAACACGCAGATGACCCCATGAAATATAAGCGATGCGCGGACACACAGAGGGTCAGACGGTTGAAGCACACGCAACCATCTTTTTAATTTTCTTTTCCGGGCAAAATATATACAGACAGTTTGGTGTGGCCACACGGCAGCCAGGCGAATTTTCTATTTTTAAATTTGTGTGGAACAGTAGTGGACGATTTCTTTTTCATTTATAATTATTTTGTGTGATGGGGTTTGTGTAAGATGAAGGGAAACGTTTTTTTTTTTAAATAAATCTTGTGTGAATTAACACTGCTTGGGCTGCAGTGCAGTCATGAGTTTGAGCGGTCTTCTTCTTGTTGTTTCGCCACGCGTCTCTGCTGTACATTTTAGTTTGTGCGTTTATATTTGTTGCTCTTCTTTTTCTTCTTTGCTTTGTGTTTCTGCAGGCACACACAACCACACACACACAAGATGCACATTGCAGTGTATTTGAATGCACCTTTTGTAGTGCATGGTGGCAGTTGTGTGTGGCGGCTGTTGTCTTCTTCCGTGGCCATGAGGAGAAGGGAAGAGGGAGATGGAGTGCGCAGCCCGAGTCTCTTTCCCTGCGGGTGTAATGCACTGCGTGTGACTGCGTTGAGTTGGGCTCTGTGTCCCATTGAGGGCGGGATGGCAGGAATTTTTGTGCCGCGTCGTGGATGGATGAGGGTTCGGTTGCGCGTGTGCGTTGTGTGGTGGCCGCGGGTTTTTGCCATTTCCCTGGGGCTGCAGGAATGAGCTGGGTGGAGATGGTGGTGGATATCTTCTCCTCCTGCATGGTGGTTGGCTGCTGGCGTTGTTTGCCTTCCTTGCGTGGATGCCGTCTCGTGGTGTGTGAACTGTGCGGCTGGGCCTGCTGCCTTCACCTCATGTTGTCTGCTCTCTCTCGCTGTATCCGCTGCACTCCGTCCCTCTCCCTCTTGTTGCATTCTTTTCCTTCTGGCTCACGGATCAGCTCACTGACTTCAGCGACTACACCACGGGTGATGATGACAGCGATGATGACGATGGTGACGGTGCGGCGCCGTGTTGGTCCTTGCGCTCTCGTGCTGCTGCTTGTCCGTTTCTGTGACAGCTGCTGGGAGTCCTGGACATGTATCTGGTGATGCGGATGCGGTGGTTGTGCCGGTGGATGTGTCGTGTGCTCCGAGTGACGGCAGCCTGAGGTATCGCGTGCGTGTGTGTGTGTGTGTGTGGGCATGGAAGAAGTGTTCTGCTGCCAGTGCTGAGGCTCAGCATGAGAATTATACTTTCAGTGGCTTTGATGTGCGCATGCATGGCAGGAATGGTGAGCTGGGTGCTGTGTGCCATGCGGTCAATGCGGTGCACACATGTAGCAACTGTGCTGCCAGCTGTGCAACGAAAGAGGAAGGGGCCACCGTTGCCTTCACGATGAATGTGACGACACTTAAATACGCCGGCCCTTATGAATTGTGGTGGCGACAATTTTCTCCCGATGGAACCATCCATCCGCCTGCACGGAGCAGCGATGCTGACCGGACGGGCATCTGTCAGTTGCCGCCACCCCGTGAAGGGAAGGATGACACAAAATCTGGTGGGACAACTGCGCCGCAAGTTGATGCTGAGCCGTCACGCCAAAACGAGGATTGGCGACAGTCTGCCGCGGCTGACGCATCCAACACCGTCGATCCGAGTCCCGCATCCAACACGGCGACCAACACGTCCGAGACGAGGCCTGAGTTTGCTTACGTTTAAAATATCAATGTGGCTCCGACACCATCCGAAAGAAGGCCCACGCCTGTCACCGAGCCGAAGGGGAATCCCATTGATGATGCGATGAGTGGTTCAATAAATGTTGAGTTGCCGCAGGGAGTCGATCTATTTGTGGCGCAGACGACGCTGGTGCAGCCGACAGATGGGATTGTTCCAGTTACGGCGAGGGATTCATTTGTTTCACCCTCTCTCGTCAGTGCTGGTGGAGTAATTGCTGTTTTCTTTGAAGGTTGCATGGATGCCGAATATCAAGGTGGTCAATTAAGTAAGCCCTTTTCTTCTGATGTGGTTGCGGGGTATATCGACTCTGCGTGGAATTGGTCCGCTGTTGTTGGTGAGGTCAATAAAAAGATACATGGAGGGCACACACTGTGCTTGGTGCAGCGGAGGGAGAGGAGACTTTGGGTGTTGTGCTCTGCACTACCGCAATCACGAAGGGCGACGGAGTGTTTCTTCTTACTGGAAGCTCTGATGTGTCATACGAAGGTGGGTGTTGGAGAGAGGGCGGCTTGGAGCTGAAACTGTTTGTGGGTGATTTCACGAAGCCCACGGGTGGCAAGCAGAGTGGACGGATCAAATGGGGCGACCCCAAACCACTCCCGAAACTGATCTCTTCTGCTTCTCACGAAGGTGAATGGACGGAGTTTATTGCTTCTGGTGGCGCAGGTGTTGTGATGGAGGATGGCACGCTTGTGTTTCCTCTGACGGCGGTGGATGAAGCAGAAGACGTTTGCTCCATGATCATTTACTCGACGGACAACGGCAGTGCCTGGGCGCTCTCTGAGGACATTTCCTCTGCGAAATGCCTTAAACCCCGCATCACCGAATGGGAGGGATCACTTCTCATGATTGTTGATTGCGAGAATGGCCAGAGGGTGTACGAGTCGCGTGACATGGGGAGAACGTGGACGGAGGCCATTGGGACACTCCCAGCCGTGTGGGTCATAAAACAGAATTCTCCCAGAAGGAAAGCCTGCGTGTGGATGCCCTCATTACCGCGACCATTGAGGAAAGGAAGGTCATGCTGTACACTCAGAGAGGGCACGCCTCGGGGAAGAAGAGGGCCACTGCGCTCTGCCTTTGGGTCACGGAAAACAACCACACTTTTTCTGTTGGACCGGTTGCCGTGGAGGATGATGTGAATTGGGAGCTTGCCAGCACCCTGCTGCACTCGGATGGAAGTTTGCATCTTTTACGACGGAGGGGCAACGGTGAGGGCCGTCTCATCTCACTTTGCCGCCTGACGGAGGAACAGAGTGCGGTCAGGTCCGTCCTCAGTACTTGGACGCAAAAGGACATTTTCTTCTCCAGCTTGTCTATACCCACGGCGTGGCTGGTGGCAGTTTTTTCAAACGCATCGGCCAGTGACGACAGGTGGAACGACGAGTACCTTTGCCTGAATGCAACGGTGACGAATGCAGCGAAGGACAACGATGGGTTTCAACTGACGGGACTTGAGTCCGGGGCAATATGGCCTGTGAACACTCGGGGTGATAATGTGCGTCATGTATCTTTGAGCCACTACTTCACACTTGTAGCGTCGGTGACCATCGAAGAGGCTCCGAGCGGGAGCACTCCTCTACTGACTGCGATGCTGGCGGACACTGAGTCCAGTCATACCATGGGACTGTCGTACAGCCACAAGAAGAAGTGGGAGACGACGTTCGAAGGCAAGACAACAACACGGAGCAGCACTTGGGAGCCGAGGAAAGAATACCAAGTGACACTTATGCTGCAAGGCAACAAGGCCTCTGTGCACATTGATGGTCAGTCGCTGGGGAAGGAAGAGGTGCTGTTAACGGGCGAGAAGCCACCTGAGGTCCTGAGGTTTTGCTTTGACGCGTGCGTTGGGCACTAATCTCATGTGACGCTGACGAATGTCTTTCTGTACAACTGCCCACTGAACTCCACTGCGATGCGTGCACTCAAGGACAGGGTTCCCGTTCCGACGAGAAAAGCGGCTCCGACACCATCTGAGAGGGTTCGAGTAGTTGAAAGCGTCAGAGAGCACGTTGCTGAGGATATTACAGAAGAGAAATGAATGAGCACCACGCCCCTGGACACGAATCCCCACTACAAACAGTCACCTCGCAGGGTGTGGAGCGGCGTGAGTCCCGACAACCGCCTCGCCTCTCTCAACGACGTGAAATTGACACTGCGTGATTTAGGCAGCAACAACACCGTGCGTGTGTGCGTCTATTGTGTGTTGCTGCTTCTTCTGGGATTGTATTTGGGTGGTGGCAGTCTTCTGAGCCACAGAGTTTGGATCTGCGACTCCTCACGGAGAATACATGCCGCGTTGCCCTCCCTTTTTTATAGCACCGTTTTTTTTAGTTTTTTACTGATCCTGTTTCAATGCTTTTACTTTTTAATGCAGTTCAGCTGGAGTAGTAAGTACTGTCGGTTTTTTTTTTATGGTCGATTGCTGCAAACTGTAATGAGCGAAGTGTTTCA